GGAAAGTTCTATATGCTTTATTTATTTGTATTTTCCTGGTCACTCCCCCAAAAATACCAAACCAAACTCACTGCCCTTGAGTCGGATCCGACTCATAGCAACTCCTCCTTGGGTTTTTGAGGCACTATCTCAGTAGATTGCCCAACTTCCCTTCGGAGGAGTGGCAGTGTGCTTGAACTGCCAGTGTTCTCATTAGCAATCAAATGCCTTAGGCACTACACCACCAGAGCTCGGAAACCACCATAAATCTAAACCAACCTCGGTGTTGCCAAGTTGATTCTGATTCATGGTAACCCCACGGATTTCAGAGTAGAACTATACTCCATAGGGTATTCTAAGACTCTCATATTTCTAAAGTAGATGGCCCTTTTTCCAAAGCAGCTCTGGACAGATCTTTTCCTTGGTAGTTGAATGCTTAAATATTTTCATTACCTAGGGACTTACAACGACCATAAAAACAAACAAACAAAAAATCAGTTGGCTTAGAGTCAGTTCCAACTCATGGCAACCCGATGTGTGGCAGAGTAGAATTGTGCTCCCCAGCGTTCTCAAGGCTGTGAACTTTGGGAAGCAGATCTGTCTCCTGAGCTCCCTACAGGTGGGTTTGTGCCACCAGACTTTCAGTTAGTAGTTGAACACATCCATGTGAGTCTCCCAGGGACTCTTTAAACCACCATAACCACTGGAAAAGCACCAAGGGACCAAGATGGCTTGAGAACTGGGCTGACGATTCCTTTCCTGCTCTGAGAAGGGGGAAATATTTTCAATCCAGCAGTTGATTTCAGAGTTCTGCAACTAGTCTACTGGCTCAAGTGGCAGCCCCAGATATTTGTGTTTTATTTCTCAAAATTATTTTCAAGTAGGAAGATGTGGTCAAATGCACAGAAGGTATACTTTCCTGTTTTAATATTTTTCTTCTGAAATTCTAAGGGAAACCATAGCTGAATGCTGAGCTTTTCTTTTCCATCATAGCACCAACAAATGCAGATTCATACTTACTCTGCATGGTCTTGCTGTTCGGCAGGGATGTGCTGAATAACTTCATAAATTGTACTGTGCAAATTGTGCCCTGATATACCATCAGAAGCAGGAATAGGGCTATTTGACATCTATAAATGTAACACATTTAAAAATAAAATTAGAGGAAGACTAGCAAATATTTTCCCTATTATGCTGCATAGTTGAAAACAACTAGAATTCATGATATTAGAAAATTAGAACTGTTTATCTTTTGTAGAATGCTAATTTTTCTCCCTCTACGGCTCCCTACACTTGCCGACCCTATGTTAGTATGTGCAGCAGCATAGCTATGATGTGAGAGGAGGAACAGCTTGACAAAGCTATCACTTTTTTTCTTCATTTAAGAAGAAAGTTGGCAGTACTATAAAGGAAATACAGTAGAATGAAAAAATAGCAAAAGAAGGAGATATCAGAGCAGCTTAGAATCAGACAGCATATATTTGTTATCTTTTCTATTACATCTCCATTACCCTTTTGACACTATTTGCCAATTATGTGTGCAAGAGTGGCTGAAGAGAAAGAACAATATACAGCTAAAAGCCCTCATCACATTGTGTGAATAAAGACAGTGCCAAGAAATACAGAACACAGGAGGGGAGATGTTTTGGTTTGGATGCAGTGATGAAGGCTAAAACTAAAGGTTTAGATGAATGTAGAAAATATAGTAGTATATTTTATGTCTGGTAAAAAGTAGCATGCATTTTATGGAAATAAGCATTCATGTTTTATTAACTTCCATTTCTTGTATCTCCTAATTTCCTTCTTCTTGTAAACTGCTTTCCAGTTATTCAGCCAAAGTCTGATTCCC